TTTTCTATACTTTATACATTACGGTAAAAAAAATATCATGAAAAACACAAATGAATCAAAATACACATCAAATTTAACAAGTCTCCCCTTAAAGAAAAAAAATCTAACCCAGCAACCGTTTTCTTCCCCTTTCTACAGTCAGAGACCGCTGGGCTACGCGTTATACCTTGGCACTGCTTGGGTTCCTCGGTCTGAGCGCTGCCTATTCCTTACGTGTAAACCTGGCCATAGCTATCGTCGCCATGGTGGGTACGAGTGAAGGAAAATTCTCAGCCAACTCTTCTCTCGACGTCTGTCCGCGGAAGGGGGGCGTAAAGGACCACGGGGCGAGAACCATTGTGAGTGTTGTTTTTAATAATGATACGGCCACGCCAATTTTATTGTCTGCATAGCGGGCTAGACAGCCCAAAATGAAATGTAGGAGGTAGGACAAAAAATAAAAATAAAATTTGATCCCGACGGCAAGTTTTATTTTCATTTAAGGTTTCACAGAAAATGGAATGTAGGAGCAGAAAATAAAAAAGATATATATATATATATATATATATATATATATATATATATATATATATATATATATATATATTTTTTTATTTTTTTTAATGGCGTAGGAGGTAGGAGGTAGGGAAAAAAACGAAAATAAAATTTGATCCAGATGATAAATTTTATTTCCATTTCTTGATTCACAGAATATGGAATGTTGGAGCAAAATATAAAATTAAAGAAAAAAGCAGGTTTTCTTTCTTTCATGACAAGGTTTACTGTCAACCTAAAGCAATATGGACCAAGTACCAAGCTTCATGTCAATCAGCTAAGAACACTTTTGTTCTTGGCCTAATATCTGTGTTCATTTTTAATTGTGTTTATTGCACAGGCTTGGCACTTGACCCATGTTGAAGTGAGGTTGGCAGAATTTAGAACAACACAGTACACCAAAGTTGCTGGAGATGCAAAAAGTTACTCTTTTCAGTCAGACAATATTGCACCTCAAAGTACCAAACACAAATAATTAAACTTTATAAAATAGTTCGACCATATTTTACATATACTTCAGTACAACTATCAAAACACAAAGTGTCAACCCAACGCAATAAGAACCAAGTGCCAAGCTTCATGTTAATCAGCTACAAAAATAAAACGTACTTGACATTATGTGATCGTATTGTCGGCGGGAAATTTGAAACTATATTCGCATCCACAGGAAGATCGTTCTCGGCGGGAATTTTAAAAGGGTGGTGGTAGCAATAATGCTAATAATGATGATTGTGATGATGATGGTATTGATAAGAACAGTGATAATAATAATAGTTATTATAATAGTAATGATAATGATAGTGGAATACTAATGATGGTGTTGCTGCTGCTGCTGCTGATGATGATGATGATGATGACGATGGCGATGACAATGATAAAACCAATGATAATGATATTGATAATAATAATGGTAATAATAATAATAATAATATTGATAATGATAATAATGATAGTGATAAGTATTATTATCATTACCATCATTATTATCATTATCCTTTCTGTTATTAAAACATTATTATTATCATAACTATCATCACATAAGTATTATTATCATTACCATCATTATTATCATTATCCTTTCTGTTATTAAAACATTATTATTATCATAACTATCATCATCGTCATTATTATCATCATAACCATCATGATCATCATCATAGTTGTCTTGCATATTCATATTCAAATCCATATAACTGTTAAGTTCGTAGCAGAAATGATAGTAATAGTATTAACAGAAATAGGATTGTAGTTATACAGATTGATATAGATATGAACTGATACAAATACCCATCATATTTGTATATTTTAGGTTATAAAGGACACTTCATTATTTGAATAAAAGTGACGTCAGATATGAAAATAAATTGGAGATGTCCAGGTGAAGACTGATTTCATTTGCAGGATTATTTTTAAACATTATTTTCAAAGAATAATATGTGTAAGGTACGTCGCCTTCGTTGACGACAGATTCACATATAAATCCGGATATAAAAAATCACAACAGGAAACAAGAGAATAAAAAAAAGAAAGGAAAAAAAATATCAATAAATACCTTCGCTTCTATAAATAGCCTCTTCACATTTAGACTGAATCTCCCCAAACAGCTGATCGATTACTCCACCTGATAAGATCAAAAAGCATCTTTCTGACTTCGACTGAACGAGAGGCAAGTCATCCATTGTCAGTCAGGTGCAGATCGCGTTGTGGTAGAGAGTCTGTGGTTGATTTATTTCAGTCAGCATTATCTTTTTTTTCTTTAATGCTTTCTGTATTTCAATTAAGAGATGAAATGATAAATTACAGCGTAGGAGGTTTTTTTTACGGTTGTCTGTAATGATAATGATTAAAGGCACTGGTATTTTTTTTTTGGTATCTGCTATTACGTTATTGGTACATTTGTACGTAAATGGATAAGATAGGGGTTTCAGATATGTATAGTGAAGGGGTCTGGTTTCGCAACTGATTA